TCTGCATAATAAGGAAGTGGCTGCATACAAGCTGTCCTCTGATTGGTCAAATGCCAAAATGATGAGTACCACCACGTATTAAGATGTTTCCTGATTGGCTCAATATAAATCATGAGCTACTGGATCTAATAAAAGAGCTTGAAGGACCACATCTGTTGCTGGTGTGCAAGTGACCAAAAATGGTAACTTGCCTCTTAAAGGGCTGGCAAGGTCTATAATGAATTGTATAATTCATGTACATATTGTTTTTAGTCTATTCTATCTATTAAAACTATTTTGGTTGTTCAACCATAGAATTATGTCATGTTAGTTAGTTATTCCTACAATTGAACTAGAGTTGACTTTACATTACATCCATATAAGATGATTTGGAAATCCTAGCTGTCCTAATTTGCACTTTTTTATGTTGATGAGACATACCTGCTTTCCAAGGTTGCCCTTCACATTCTATGTTTATGTTCAAATTCCCATTTCAAATTTGTTCTTCTATCCTGATTTCCAAGTTTAATTTTGACCTATACCGTTTCTTCATTAATTTTTCACTATGCTGAATCAACTTTTCAGTCTTTTTCAAACTGGCAGCAACCAGCAATGAATTAAAAAATAAATGCATTTAAAGGTCTACTTAATAAATCTTGATGTAATTGAACATAAAAAATCACTATCTATATAAATAAAACTTTGATAGACATGTCCCATGTCCAAGGTCTTCCCCGCCTTTCTGCCATAGACTTCTGGAGATAGATAACAACCCCCCCACAACAATTATGGTGTGAGTGGGAAAAGATGGATGGATTGAAGTGATGAATCTTTAAATAAATACAGATATCATTTATAAAAATATTATATTTAACAGTTTTTTATTATATTGACTTTTTTTTTTTCAATTCAGTATTTACTGATTTTTTTTTATATATATATATTTGTTCATCGCATGTCATGGCACGATCTTTTTTTCTCCATACATGAACAAAAATGAACAGAGGGAAGATAAATCTTGTATTATTTTTTCCTAAAAACACATCATTCCGCCCCAACTCCTTACCAGTTCACAAAGCAAAATCAGCATCATTCATCTTATTGTTCATAATCTCTCAGAATTTTGTCTTTGCACATTTTTTTTACTTTGTAAAGACTTGTACAACATTTAAATTCCAAACTCAAAGAATTCCACAGTTTAACGTCATAAACAGACGGACATTTCTGTTTCAACGATGTTCGTGCATATAAATTCTGAAAATTATATTTTCACCTGTGGCAAATGTCTTGTGCAACAAAAATACTTAGAAAATCTTTGGCCATTTTTTTTTTTTTTTGTTTAGCTTTCCACATCACAATCAAAAGTTTCAAATTGACAAGATTCTTACATTTAAGTAGTTTCTTTTCAATAAATAAATAATTGGTGTGCTCTCTGTAACCTTTCTTACTGATGATTCTAATTGCTGTTTTTTGCAGCAGGATCAAGGACTTGCAACTGGTATATGTGTTACCCGAGACCTCAGTAAAATAACTGAAATATGGGAGAATCACTGAGAAGTATAGCATACTCAACAAGTTACAATCAAACAAGTCTCTAACTTTATATAAAATGCCAGTACTTTTGCTGACCTTTCTTTTAAAATAATCAATATGCGCTTTCCAGTTTCATTTACATCTAAAATAACACCGAAAAACTTAACTGCCTTGAGTCTTTTTATACTGACTCTATAAATTGTAATTTCCACATTATCAATTTTGCTGTGACTACTGAAAATCATATAGTATGTTTTGTCCCAATTTAAAGATAACTTATTTTCCTTAATACAATAAAAGATACATAAATACTGTTATTTATTAATAACAGTATTTATGTATTTTTTATTGTAAATAAAACAGCTATCCATACAAAAGCTACAAGTCAGAGAAAACACTGTAGTGGCACTACAGCCACATTCTAACTTCACTGTAGTTAGCATGCATGATTTATCTTTTCAAGCTTCATGACTCTGGTATGAGGTCATTTCCATGACTAATACTTCCTTTGACATCACTGACCATACTGAGGACAAAACAATCATGGTCAAAAAAGTTGTTTGCTTTCACTGTATCTTGCATATAAGATGTCAGTATCTTTATGAAGTACTGAATATTCCTCCAGCGCTGGTGCATCTCCCAAATGACCAAATATATAATTTATCACAATATCTCAGAATTATAGTTTGTTAGAAAGATGAGAAATTCTTTATAAATCTCTGGTGTTGACAGAAATCATTATTAGTCATTGTAAACAAAAAATATGTCAGTTTCGGCTTTTTTGAATTAAAAAAAGTGTTTTTGTACTGCATAAACTTGTACACATGTCTTCTCCATGACTACTTCATTCATCTGACCAGCTCTGACCTAGCTCTTTGTGGAGCTTTTGCTTTGTCTGGTATTTGAGAGTATAAACCTTCTGCTAGCTGCTCGGGGGACAATGAATCTCAGCTAAGCAAATTTCTTCACTGCCATTTCAGCAGATTTAAACTCATAGAGAATCATGCTGCCCTCGCTGGAAGCTGAATAAGCTCCCCCCCACCCCCCACCCCCCCCAGATAATATGCCACCACTCATCCCTAAAAGTAGATATATTATTTGTTGATTTCTCTCTAAATAGGGGTTTTGAGGTCTATCTACAGCTGTAAGCCATAAGGAAATACATAAAACTCAATTTGCAGTCACTTGGATTGGAACACTTCTTGAAACTCTGCATTTAGTAAATAACTAATATTTGAGAGACATAAAGGTTTCATTGTCATATCTGTGGGTGTAAATCGAATCTATTGCATTTTATTGCACAAAAATCACAAGTCTTTGAACATAGCTCTTATATTAATTCAAATGTTAATATAACAGATTTAGGGTTTCTCATTTTTTCAAATACCTTTGTTCTTGCAGGAATACGATACAAAACCAAAGTTAAATGATTCTTATTTTCCACTTGTCATATTACACTTTTTTTGCCACAGTTAAATTCATTACCTGATCACCATTCATCTTTCCCACAGCCACTGGAAACAGGAATGTAGTTTAATTCATCAGGTGACCAGAAATGAGAATTGTACCATGCTAAGGTCTTTACCATGCTGGTCCTCATGGGAAATGTCTTCCTTTAGGCAAAACAATACAGCTTTGATACACTGGGGCAGCCAAAATCGACCAAAACTAAGAGTTTTTTGGTACTGCTTTAAATTTAGCTTACACTTAAATTGTCCTCACACCTTCCAATTAGTTAGTATTTCATTCTTTTCTATATTTTTTATACATAATTCAGTAACTGAAACTGTTTTAAAAGGGTTAGAAACTGTGAAATAAGTCAACAATATTTTTTATTTTCAAATTCTTTCTATGGAACTGATTTTCAGAGTCCCAAATAAAGTTTTAGTTTAAAAAAAGTAATAGAAGAGATTATTATAGAAGAGATAAATTGAGAAAATAGAAGTGTTATTTAAAAGCTCATTTAGCACCAATTTTACTATGTTCATCTATTACCTTCCGCTAATAGTTCACAATACTGAACACGTTTGTATTCCATAATTAAAATAGCAGGAGAAAAGTCCAAAATGTACTGTAAATGGGGTTTATGAAGAGAGGATTCACATGACTTAACCAGTGAAGAAGCAGAAATAAAACCTAACAAAACAAACAAAGAAATAAAAGAGCACTATCTTGGATACCTTATGGACCAACAATCCACCTAAGGAATGATGAAACACATGAACTGACGTGTTGCAAAAACTTAAATTAATAAAACTGAAATTTTGGCAGCAGATAGCAATCCTTTCTCTTCAGGTTTTGACAAACATTGCAACTCAGATATGGGTCTGTTTACAGTAGGCGTGGAACAGTTCACAAAATCCACGGTTCGGTTCGAATCACGGTTTCTGGTCACGGTTTTCGGTTCGATTCGATACATGTTGATTGTTACGAAATTCCAGAAATAATTATGAAATTAATGAAAAAATCCCCCAAAAATAATGGATTGTTATTATTTTAAATGATCCGCGGAAACCCTGGATCATTTCCGTATGTTTTGCTGCTTTGAATTTAATCATCTCGCGCATGCTCTCTACCATCTCCAAGGGACTCAGAGGGGAGCAGACGAAGCCACAGTGGGGGCTGTAGGCTTTGCTTTGAGCAGCCGGTCTGGAGCGCAGCGGGGGTTGCTGACGGAGTACTGTATGAGGGATTTCGGGGTTAGCATGACATGTTGCTGTTAGCATAAACAAAACAATGCTTGCACACTGTTGCACTTTTATCCACAACTTTCTTTCCGCTGTCATCGTAGGTCACTCTAAATGCAAAGCGCTCCCATACAGCAGACCTATAAAGTGCTGCTGGCGCGTCTTCCAACTCCAGTTCTTTCCCACTCGCCATACCCACACAATTCTCCACAACAACTGATTTTTTTCTGCTACACCCGGCTAAGCTGCTTCGCTTCTTCTTCTTCTTCTTGTTTACTACTGGCGGTTGGCTTTGGTCGCAGTACCGCCACATTCTGCTCTGGAGTGTAATCGCTTCCTCTATGAGAAAAATGAGCAGCGCATGAACCGAACGAAACACACGCGAACCGAACCGAGACAGTCGAACCGAACGATTCTGACGGTTTTCATAAATCGTCCCATCCCTAGTTTACAGTAGTAGCCATTCAAAATTTCCCCAATTTCTTTGATCAGCCTTTGGCTGGTTCTTGTCCCCTACAATTCATTTTTAGACATCAATCTTTGTACTAAAATATTATTTCTGTCATGATTTGTGGTCAAACCCATTCAATTCAGTGAAAGGGTCTAGTCAGAGAAAATAAATATGCATGCCAAGGAGAAGGCCAGTGGCTGGAAAATGGAGGGGATTTTGCTGGGCGCTGCAGGGAAGTGGGCTGCCATTCCAGAGTAGCCTGAGTTGTTTAACTGATGCTTGCAATAAAATGTTACAGGTTCAGAATACACTCTGCTACATCTAAATAAAATGTTTCTTTGTCTTTATAGGTGTTCCATCCAGCCCAAGGAATGTGATCTCCATTGTTAATGAGACCTCCGTGATCCTGGAGTGGCATTCTCCCAGGGAAACAGGCAACCGAGATGATGTTGTCTATAACATAGTGTGCAAGAAGTGCCGAACTGACCGACGCTCCTGTTCACACTGCGATGACAATGTGGACTTTGTTCCCCGACAACTAGGTCTGACGGAGACCAGGGTCTTCATCAGTAACCTGTTGGCACACACCCTTTATAGCTTTGAAATACAAGCCGTCAATGGTGTGAGCAACAAGAGCCCATACCCAGCACAGCATGTCACCATAGACATTACAACCAACCAGGCTGGTGAGTGCCTAACATTTCTGCTTCTTTTATAAAAACAAAATCCTAAAATCTATATTATTGACTTCTGTAAAAGTGCTTTTTTTTTTCTTTTTTATATGTGTCACTGGATGAGCTCTCGTCCAATCACACTAGTTGTATTTCATTTTCCATTTTATAAATTGCAGATTTTCTATTACGGTACACTTGCTACTATAAATCCATTCTGCCTGCAAAAAGCATAATCTGACACTCTGTGCATTTCAGAGTCACATTTCATGGGTTGGCAGCCTTCATGCCTACTTCACAGTGAATGATGAAGGCTAGGAAATGGGAGGAGAGGCTGTTAGGTGATGTGTACATATTTGCACTCTTTTCTAAGCCCTCCTTCTCTGGATTAAGGTAATTGCTTTTCCCTTTGAAATCACAGCTGTGAAATTCACGCTTGGACCAATATGCCGCTTTTTATGATTTTAGTCAGGACAAAATCAGCTCCCTGCAACTTTGGTCTTTCCTTTGTTGCTTTTTTGTTCAACAAATCATGTGAAACAACCATAACCATTATTAAACATTCTAAAAATTCTTGTTGAAAAATAGTGGTCGAGGTGAGATATTCATTATTTAGATTTTCTTTTTATTATTCAGAGGACCAACTACACTAATTTAAGTATATCAGTTTAGTATGAAAATGTGAGTTTAAGTTTACGTTTCTTTTGGGCTTTTTGCTTAATACTTTTTATACATTTAATACATCATCAGACAAATTTAAATACAATACAAACTCTCAGAACACATTTTATTTAAGAAAATTAATTGATTAATCATTCATACACATGACATTAAACTCTTCTCTGAATAAATTAAATAATAATTTTAGAAGATCACAAGTTTGTATGACAAAACAAGGCACAGAAGAGACTTGTAAGGTTGTAAATACTATTTTTCTTTGCAGTCAAATAACTCATCTTGGATTTTAACAAAAATATTAGCATGAAATCTGCTTAAACATTTTGTAAAGGTTTAGATTAGATTCTAAATAGATTTGTTTTCATTGACATCTTTTGCTCCACAGCAGAAGATAAAACAGATAGAAAGACACCTACTATTGTCAGGATAGGATATTGATGGGCATTATTCTGTTTTAAGTTAAATTCTAACATTGGGTCGGGTATGCATGTAAATTAAACCTATACATAATTTTAAAATAAAACTATCCAGCCATTTATTTATCTTCTGCAGTGAAGACAACCTAAGGCTGAAGTCAGTTTTTCTAATGCATTCACCCATAAATATTCAATATCATTTTTAACAACACGGAAAGTCTAAGATGAAATAGAAAGAAAACCATCTGCAATTCATAAAAAGAAAATTGATTTTCTGGTTAGGAATAGATTACACTTTGCGTTTTGACAGAGTTTTTCCACTATCAAGTTTGAGACATTTGGCTTTTTGTGTTCCTGACTTTTGAAATATAAAAGTGAACTATATAGTGAGATAAAAACAGCAATATGAGGCCTTCAAGAGGAATATTTAAGTTGATTTTGCATCTTGTTGGGAATTGAAAGAGTTCTCTATAGATTTTGAACTCAGCCATTCCACTCTGGGGTAAATATTCTGCAAGTATGTTGCAGAATATTTAATTCTCTCTATAAAGTGGCTTGAGATTATATGAGTTGGGAATTGGTGCTATATAAATGACATTATTTTTAATTGAAGTAAAGGGTCACAGAAACATCTACCTGTATGCCCAGGTCTGGTTGTGCAAGCAAGTTCATCTCTAAAGGATACAAACATGTGTCTTCTAAAACCCTAAATTGTCACATGAGGATTTTGTTACTCTTAACATAAAAGTGCATGCCTCAGAAGTCAGATAGTGAGAAAAGGAATTCTGTTATATGGTCTAAGTAAATACCTGATTCAAATGTACTTTTACATTTTCTATGCAAAGGAGAACAAATACATTGTCTTATCCAGTGATGGAATACCACATGTCAAATTTATTCCATTTTAGTCCTTTCTTTAGCTGTAATTGTTGAATCAACTTACTCTACATTTATCTTTGAGAACAATACAATAATAATTGCTTTATCCTGATTACTTTTTTGGATTGGAGAACATTTTGAAATCAAATTTGGCTTGGCTAGTGAATGGCATACCACAAATGATTACATCGACCCTCAGAGGAACATAATGACCGAGTGCTCATGTTTTTGCCATTGGAGAGTTCAAAGAGAAATGGGAGGAGAGATAAATCAGAACAAAGAAACTGGTTGATTTTTTTTCTAACAGAAACTGGAACCATGATAGTGAAGGAGGGAAAATGAGTGGGTAAATAGGGCTGACTGTAAATGTGGCCTAATGGTGCTGACTGTACCTGTTTGACAGGCTAATAGCAGACTTGACAGATAGATGTGGAATGAGCATTGCCCATTTCTATTGTGGAAGCCTGTTACAATAATGAGGTTTCGTCCGGTAATCTCCTAGGCCTGTGTCCATCTTTATGTGGCCCTTTTGTCACTAGCTAATTGCACTGTTCCTCAGTTTGGCAGGGGTATTTAGAAGAAAGCTACTGATAAAGCAGACGTATACAAAATGTTCATGGTAAGGATATATGAAACAACAAACAAATACACTCTCTGGAATCAATGTCATAGAGAAAAAGACGTGGGGATATTAAATTATGAAAAATAGCTTTTATGCAAAAAATGGAAAAACAAAACCACCTCCATTTCGTGCCTAAACTCATTGAATTCTATGGAAGGGTGTGTTAGAAATCTGTTGCAGATGGGGGCAATTTATAAAGATATATGTGTTATGACTGCTTTTTAATCTGTCCCTAAAAAGATTCAAATGATACATTTCTTTATTTTATCTTTTCTAGGTAACTTTAATGTAGGCTGTTCTGATGCAGAGGAACTTCATCTTTACCTGCAACAATATGGAGTAGTATTAGAACAATTGAGTAGACTGGATTTTCAAAGATCTGAGCGGAAGAAACGGGGAGTAAGGGGGCGGCCTTGATGAGGGATATATGAACCATTGAGGCCATTTAGCTGCCCTCAATCCTGGCGTGTGTCTGAAAGAAAGAACTGATCAATATTGTGATTTAGGAGTTCATTTATGGTCCTTTGCTCACCAGGAGACATACTCCCACAGAGATACAACCCCACAAATATTATCTATTCCACTTTGTGAGGTGATTAGTTATGTCTGACCTGGTTTTGTGTCATTTTTTCTATCATCTAAGGATAAACAAACTATTTTATGTCACATCCTTAAATTTCAGGGAGAATGACAATTTCTACTCACGGTGAATTCATAAAAGGAGTAAAAGGAGGGAAAGACAAATATTAAGTAGTCACATAGCTACCACCTAATGCACAATAGCACTATGATCTTACTGGCACAGCCTTCTTGACCTAGATTATTTGCCAAACGTCTCTCAGACCACAGAATGCCAATTATATCTACAAACAATCCTCCTCCGCTTGGCTGGTGTTTGGAGAGCTATTCCCACAGAAAGACAAACATTGCTTTCCCTAGCCTTCTATGGGCAAGTCGTATCAGATGGGTTGAATTCAAGATAGTAAGATCCAGCGCACTCGACTGAAATCCAAACAACCAGATGAATTAGACTCATGTTCACCTGGTGGGGCTCTTGAATCAGATGAGATGCTAGGTAAATATGTCCCAAGAAGATATCCAGAACGCTTCTCATTATGTCTCACTAGTTTTATTTTTTCAAAATGTACCCTCCTGTGTGTCCTAAAGTTTTCATCATGCAAGAGCTTCCACAGCTTTCTGGCTTGCCATTTTTATTCTACCTGCTGTTTGTTCTACTGATTTTAGAATACCCTGCCCCTGGATCTAAAAGGTGAGGTATTAGCTGCAGGCAAATGAACAAGAATTATGACAAAGTTTTGACATCTGCACTTACCAGCAGACGCTCCTGATGTCTTTTTACTGTGTAATAATTGACTGTGAGCATGCGTGTCTATATCTTGATGTGCTTAAGTCAACGGGAATTTGTGTGCAAGATGAATGTCTTCCTTTTATCTCCCCTTTTTTGCTTTCTTTCCCCCCAAAAAACGAACTGTGTTCAGAATCCTCCTTGTATAATGTGATTTTGAAATATAATTCAAGCGACTGGTATTTGAGGGAAGTCCCTGATGCTGAACTGATCCCTCTTTAAGATGTTTGAGAGAGAGCCATTACCATGTAGTCATGGCTGGCTTGGCCTTCTGAGCCCCTGTTAATAAGGTAGCAGCCGTTGAAAATATGGCTTTGACTGCAGCACATCACATGACTGAACTGCTCCTCATATATAGAACTCTAAAATCCTATTGTCTGCATGGTTATTGGTAGGGTGACTCAATGTTAACCTAAAAACTTGAACTGTATATCAGAGAAAAATTTGATCATACTATAGTTGTAGCCTTTGGTGTATTCTAAATATAGGACTTAGTGAGAAGAAGACCCCTCGGCTTATCTATTTTACTTTTTCTATCATTTAAATGACTAGAATGAATAAAGCAAGAAATGATGATATAAAGGTTTTTTTTTTTACATTTTGTTTTATAAGATGGAAAGCATCATAAGCTCAGCTTGATTTAGGTCTATAATTGAACCGTTCTAACATAACCCTTTGATTTGATATAAATCATTTAATGTTTTTTTTTCTATTTAGGGCCATTATTATATTAGAAGGCAAAACCCTGTCCTAGTTGGACAATGTTTGACATTGGTAGCATGTTGTCTTCCCTTTTGCTACCTTCACAGAAATGTTTTGTGTCCATTGACAGGCTATTGGTTAACTGCAAATAAGACTGTTAATGTCTTTCTTTCAGTCACAATTCCAAGAAGTCCCCATATTTTAGATGTGAAAAATTCCTGTTTGTGATTTTATAAATTAACTCTGCTCTAAATTTTCCACTACCTTACTATTGTAGGTGTTTTCTTGGTCTTACTAATTCTTCTAGTCACTGATGTTAAATACAGATTACAGATTTTGATTAAGATTATAT